AGAGGGTCCAGAGGAGGGCCACTCGCATGATCAGGGGACTGCAGGGCAGGCCCTATGAGGAGAGACTACGGGACCTGAACCTGTTCAGCCTCCACAAGAGAAGGCTGAGGGGGGATCTTGTGGCCTGTTACAAACTGGTCAGGGGGGGATCAGAAGGCATTGGGGGAGTCACTGTTCCCCCGAGCACAGCCAGGAGTGACCAGGAACAACAGTCACAAGCTAGCAGAGGGTAGATTTAGGTTAGACATCAGAAGACACTATTTCACGGTCAGGGTGGCTAGGGTCTAGAACCAACTTCCAAGGGAGGTGGTGCAGGCTCCTACCCTGGGGGTTTTTAAGAAGAGGTTAGATGAACACCTTGCTGGGGTCGTTTGACCCCAGTACTCTTTCCTGCCATGGCGGGGGGTCAGACTAGATGATCTTCTCACGTCCCTTCTGACCCTAGAAGCTATGAAACTATGAAAGGTAGGACTTATGTGAGAAGGAGCGGGAGTTTCAGCCAGGACAGAAGGTGTTAGTCCTATTGCCCTCCTCACTGAGCAAGCTGTTAATGCAATGGCAAGGACCCTTCGAGATCATTAGACAAGTTGGCCCAGTCGATTACGAGGTGTATCGCCTGGGTCACTTAAAGCCAAAACAAATTTATCATGTCAACCTGCTGCGAGAGTGGTGACAACTGGAAGGTTGGTCAGCATTCAAAGAGGAGACAGCAGAGGGTCCCAGACCGCAGGGTTCTGCGCAAGGCACGGGAGAGACTAAGCCCTTTAGGGCGGTCCAAGTAAGTGGAGAACTAACAGCGTCCCAGAGGAAAGATATAGGGGCTGTCCTCGAGGAATTTAAGGGAGTCTTTTCAGAGGATCCCGGGTGGGTAAAGGACACCTATCACGCTATTCAGACATCTCCAGGTGTGATAGTGCGAGACAGGTGGTGACCCATACTGCACCATTTGACAGAGGAGGTGCATAAGGAGGTAAAGAAAATGCAAGCCCTCAGCGTGATCACGACACCATGAAGCCCGTGGCGGAGTTCCCTGGTGCCCATACGGAAACCAGATGGGTCGTTAAGGCTCTGCGTCGATTACTGGAAATTGAATGACGTGGCCACATTTGATGCCTTCCCTATGCCACAAGTGATGGAATTAGTGGAATGGTTTGGTGCTGCCCAATATATATCCACTTAGGTCTAGCCAAGGGGTATTAGCAAATACCCGTATGGCCCTGTGACTGCCCCAAGACAGCCTTTGGAACCCCATGGGGCCTGTATGAATTCATTAAGATGCCATTCGGCTTGCACGGGGCGGCAGCAACTTTCCAAAAATTAATGGAATGCATCCTGGCACCCCACAATGAATACGCGGCTGCGTATGTCGATGATATTGTCATATTCACCCAGTCGTGGGATCAACATCTACGTGCCCTTAGGGCAGTCCTGACCGAACTATGGAAGGCCGGCCTGACCGCAACACCCCAAAAGTGTGCAATTGAGCATAAGCACATGAAGTACTTAGGATTCTTAGTGGGCCAGGGTACCATCCGACCATTGGAAGACAAGGTCCATGTTATCCGATCTTTTCAAGCCCTGCAAACGATAAAACAGCTACGATTCTTCTTGGGACTGGTAAATTACTACCGCAGATTCGTTCCTCAGTTCTCGAAGCTAGCAACACCTCTCTCTGAGGCTCTGAAGGGTCCACATGGGAAGGGGGTCCAGTGGACTAGGGCAATGTTGAACAGTTTTCAGGCCTTGAAAAAGGCTCTATGCGATGATGTGCTTATACATACCCCTGACTGGAACACTTCCACTATTACTTAGTCGGGAGGGAGTTCACATTGGTCATGGACCATGAACCCCTGAAATGGCTCAGTACAGCCAAAACGGATAATGCACGCATAATGCGGTGGGCTTTGGCGCTACAACCCTTTAAGTTCCTTAAGTTGCATAAGAATGCAGGGTGGCGGTTGAGATCTGCAAGGAAGGCCACAAGATAACAACTAGATGGCCCAACGAAGGTGGCGTTAGGCCGGGCTGTAGGGGTGGCAGAGCCCCGTGAGCAACCGTCGGGACTGACCCAGGCCATTGAGGGACCTACCAACTAACCCGCCCACTGAGGAACACCAAGATGTGGCAGGCAAGTACGGAGTTGGTGATGCGTGAGGAAAGAGCTACCTCGACGACAAACCGGCTCTGGGACAGTACTACTTTCCAGCAGAGTAATTTACTGCATTGAAATGCACATGTAGACTGTGACTGCCCTGGCTCATATTGCTGTTGTCCTGGACACGTGTAGATGCTATGCTCAGAAGCAGTTTACTTTGGTTCGAAGTGCTCCAGAGTTTATTGCTTTGCATTAAATTGCACATGTAATGAGCAATACACCCAGTGATATTCATCTACCAAAAATCAGATGCATATTAAACATTAGTACTGGTATTTTGATAATTCAGGGAATACTTCAATGGAACAATCAATGGGACTACCAAAAATGGCTACTAAAATAGTTTAAATACCTTTTGCAATTCCAGTTGTATGAAATATTAAATAAATGGATTGGGCAATTTTCTCTTAGACGCAAGATGGCATTTAAGTAAAAGAATACACTCCTAACCTTTCAGCCCATGGGCCCCTTTCACAAGTGAGGTAAAGCTGTGCTGCCCTCCACTGTCTCAGTATAGCTGTCCGCTGACTATTAAGTTGTTTTAGTGTGCTGTTGTAACGCAGATTCTCCTGGCGAGCCCTTCGGTTAAATGGCTCCACAAAATACTCCTGAAAGAAAACCAGAAATAAGCCTTACTCAGATTCCTACAAGAATCCTGGAATTTGCAGAAGTCATTTGCTCAAAGCAAAGGATAAATTTCTACCAGTGAAGAGGAAACACTGTCAAGTAACTTGACAAACTCTGCAAAATTAAAACATGTATGTTAAACATCAGAGATTTTACAATGAAAGACAGATACTGGCTATATGAAACGTGTAAAGTATAAATGAGTTTGCATGTTCAGGATGCAAAATGGACTGCACTTGAGTTCCAGTTATGGTTTCAGAAGCATTAGAATTTTTCAATACCATTCTGGCTTTTTATAATGTAATTTAGACTATCAGCTTTAGTGGCCTGGCAAAGAAAAGACCTCATATATGGATCCTTTATATGATGCAAGGAAAGATAAATAAATGTAACCACTGTACTGTTCACTGTAATTAACAGTTACCTAGAAATCATAGACTCTAACCTCATGAGATTTCTGGCCCAATCCTCCAAACTGTCTAGGTCTACCCTCCAGTATATCTACTACATGCCACCCCCGAACATGGTGTCATCTGCAAGCTTGCTGAGGGTGCAATTCATCCCATCTTCCAGACCGTTAATTAAGATATGAACAAAGCCAGCCCCAGGACCAACCCCTGGGGCACTCCACTTGATACCGCCTGCCAACTAGACATCAAGCCATTGATTACTACCCATTGAGCCCAACAATCTAGCCAGATTTGTATCTGCCTTACAGTCCATTCATCCAATCTTCCTATGCTTGCTTGCAAGAATGCTGTAGGAGACTGTGTCAAAAGCCTTGCTGAAGTCAAGGTATATTACGTCCACTGCTTTCCCCACATCCACTGAGCCAATTATCTTGTCACAGAAGGCAATCAGGTTGGTTAGGCATGACTTGCCCCTGGTGAATTCATGCCAACTGTTCCTAATCACCTTCAAGTGCTTAGAAATGGATTCTCTGAGGACCTGTTCCATGATTTTTCCAGGGACTGAGGCGAGGCTCACTATATCCTCCTTCTTCCCTTTCTTAAAGATGGGCACTATATTTGCCCTTTCCCAGTCACCCGGGACCTCCCCCAATCACCATGAGTTTTCAAAGATAATGGCCAACAGCTCTGCAATCACATTAGCTAATTCCCTCAGCCTCCTCAGATGCACTGCATCCAGCCCCATGGACTTGTAAATGTCCCTAACCTGTTCTTTCACCACTTTCTCCCCAAACTGTACTGCCCAGTGCAGTACTCTGGGAGCTGACCTGTGAAAACCAAGGTAAAAAAAGGCATTGAGTACTTCAGACTTTTGAGCTTTCTGTCACTAGGTTGCCTCCTTCATTCAGTAAGAGACCCACATTTTCCCTGACCTTGCTCTTGTTGCTAACATACTTGTAGAAACCCTTCTTGTTACCCTTCACATCCCTTGCTAGCTTCAACCCCAATTGTGCTTGGCCATTCTGACTTCATCCCTGCATGACTGAGTAATATTCTTGTACTCCTCCAAAGTTGTTTGTCCAAGCTGTCACTCCTTGTAAGCTTCTTTTTTCTGTTTAAGCTCACCAAAGAGTTCTCTACTAAGCCAAGCTGGTTGCATGCCACATTTGCTATTTTTCCTGCAAGCAATTTGCTATTCTTCCACATTTGCTATTCTTTCTGCAAGCAGTACCTTTACTACTAAATTTCAATCTTAACTGAACACAGAAAAAACAGTTTTGACTTAATTCACTGCACAAAAAAAGGAAACAAAATTTATGTGGGAGCAGTTCATGTTAGGTACAATTTTGGCTCTTTTTCATTTTATTAAAATAACTGTTAAAAAATTCATTAGCTTAAGACATAATGTAGTAGGGACTAACAGCTCTCAGTAATTCAAAATGGGCTAAAACGATGCAACTAACACTAAGCATAATTCTGGATAATGTATTATGAGAGGGGCATACATGTTCTACTATAATTCAATTTTACAGCTTGATTTGATATTAGAAATTTTCAAAGCAGTTTTTCCAAGATGCACATTTATAGGATATGCCATCAGTATGTTTTTTTTCTCTCCTCACAATACTGGGGTCAGAGATCACCTTACAAATAAATTCCTTCATCTGCTGGCAGCTGATTCCACTTTTTCCTGAAACACTGCAAATAGATTTTAGAAACTTAAAAACTTTACCTGAAATTTCAACTTGCTTTCTCCCCTCTCTCGGTCTCGCTTATGCATATTCACCATTAAAGCCTCATAACAGTCTTTCCAATAAAGTGCCATATGCTCGTGGCCCTCTCTGAATGTATTGTCTTCATACTGTTTCATGTATGGAATAATCTGGTAAGCAAAAATATTTTGGGGAAAAAACCAAACAAGATGGTTGAGTAGATTCCCTTTGCCCCAGTAAAGAGAAAATAGATGAATACCCCAAAAAAGCTATCACTTACATATTTATCAATATAAATTTGCCATTCACTAGAGCTGCAATACTCTTGGAAATCCTCAAAGAAAGAAGGGCTGCCATTGGCAGAAGGCAATGAAGGTAGGTGCAGGTTCATAAAAAGAAGTTGGTAAATTTTGGATACCAGTGTTCGAACCAGAGGAATTAGGAATGAGTATGTTTCTGTCTTCTCTTTGATTGATCTACTCAGAATGCCTTCCAGCTTGCCCAGCAGGTAGCATGCCTCAGTTTGGCTCTCAATTACTTTAGTTTGAAGGAGGGTGTTTAGTTTAGCTGCTGCCATAGCACAAACCTAGACAGAGAAAAAGAAAAGCAAATACAATATTAACACACAAAAATCTATGAAGCTAGTGGCAAGCACTTAACTTTTTACCGGAGATGCATGCATACTGCAAGCTGCTTCTCAGGTATACAGAAACTCCCAATAAGTCAGATCAGATTTCACTACACTGTGCTAATATTTTTGAACTAAAGTGCTCAAAAGCCCCAGTCCAGAATACTGGCCCATTGTGGTAGCTACTGCATATGTACCAAGGAAAAAAGTTTACAGTTTCATTTAATCAATTAAATATGCAACTACTTTAAGGGGATGAGGACAAACAGAAGTAAATATGCATGTGGTAAAAGCTGTTGAAGTGTCCAAATTACAAGGTCAAGGATATCTGCAGGAAACCCACTGTGGTAAGCTTAAACCTTATATTAACTAACAGTTATATACAGTAAAAGCTGCATTAACCAGCATTCTACTATCCAGAATACTCTATTAACCGGAATTTCTGGCCAGACACTTGGTGGAGGGGGAACAGGATGCTCACACATGGCAGCCCCCCCAGCCCCCCAAGGGGTTTCAAAAAGGTTGAAAACCCCTGCCTCAGATGACCAGAATTTTTAGATACCCAGCACCCCCCCTTACCCCACTCAGGCCAGTTAACACAGCTTTTACTATACATAGTTGGCATGCATCTTGCACAGTACCCTATGCATAAATAAGTAACAAACCTGTAAATTATCTTGTCCAATGAATCCAAGGAGCAACTGCACCTGCACTTGGGAGAGTTTGACTGATTCTGGGCCATTGGGGTACCAAATTGACAGGTCATCCATCAGAGTCACCAGCTCTTCCAAGAGCTATTTCAACAGGGAAAGAATTGTATGGCATAAAATAAAAAGAGAAAAAAAATTAGTTCTCAGATACTAATACAACTATGGGATTGCACAGTAATTTTGAAGAGCTGAGAAATCTACAGATAAACCAGACTGTACTCGTACCTTAAACCAAGTGATTAAAATAAATATACTGTAGGACTGAAGTACAACTACCAATTTAACAGAGTTCAGCATTTCAAAAGCAATACAATGCAATTTGATAAAACAACTGCTTCATAAATAAAAGAAGGAAATTATTTTTGCACATAAAGCTAAAAATCCTGTTTCTCTAAATTATCACTATAAACTTTCATTTCCACAAAAAGTAGAGCAGTTATAAATATGATTGCTTTGATTATAAAGGTTCTATTCTAAAGGATAGGTACTGTAAAACTTAATCTTTAGTTCAGTCACTGATTTATATTCCATTTCTTTCTCCTTTTTCACATTTACTTAACTTAAACACAATGGTAATTTATTATTAAGTTAGCACAAATGGGGCACAGTCAAATTCGCTTCACTATCAACTGCTAAAGCTGTTTAATCTCTTGTCAATAGACAAAATATTACATGATTAAAAGGGCTGACATCACCCAAACTGACAACATGTTAATAAATATCTGAGAACATATTAAATTTAATTACCTTCTCTGTCCACAAATTGGAATTGACTAGCCCTTCTGCCTGTAAAAAATCCTGTACAATGAGCAGGAGCCGAAAGCCATTTTCAGCATGCGTTAGGAGAGCTTTAGCATCTCTGTTATCAGTGACTGCCCATTCCAGCATCTTCTCTAGCAAGCTAAATGGAAAAGAAAATCCCAAAGCAACTATTAGATTTTCTGAGAATAAGTGGCTTAAAAAAAATCCACTTACATATTTAATTAATTGAGCCTAAACATATGTAGTGCTGCAACTCCCTTCTACTTTAACAATCTTCTTGACCTCATTGGCTTATAGAGTCACGCAAGTCAGAGGCATACATTTAAGCTTTGTCAACTAAATTCCATTACTAAATAGGTACAGATGCACAGGTATGCTTTTGATCATATTTGCATGAGAACAACAGCAGATCAAAGACAACCTATCAAACTTCTGTCACCAGAATTTAACAATACCCGTAACACCATCTCTTTCACTTTCTCTTCCAAAAGAAGAAATATGCCATTACATGGTACCCACTTAAGTTTTATTTCATCTGAAGGTCGCAGCAACTCATTGGATATCCCCAGTTTGGTCAGTGCAGAAAACACCTGTCCCCTCTCAATCCAGGAAGCATCATCAGACTTTTCTAGACCTTTCCACATTACACAGAGCAAAGCATCTGTGAGCAACTGTATGAGGTCATCTTCAGATCCCTGGGAAACAGTGAAAAAAAGTTGCACTCTTTTTAGTGTAAAAAGCCTCAAAAAAGTTGGTTATTCATCACAGCATACAATGATTACATATTTCATCCATCTTTGCCAATGCCCATTTTAGACCAGACTGTTAAACTTCAGGGAGTTGTGGACTGAAATGAGGCAGCTGGGAAGAAAAGCAGGCTGCTGCTTGTAACCCGACCACCATCTCTGCTGCTGCTGCCTTAGCTCTCCCCTCCTGTGCCGAGGGCTGCTCTCTCCTTCTTGCAGCCACTGCTGCCCCTCACCCCTCACCACCAACTCCCACCGTGGACTAATTCAAAAGCAAAAGAAGTGATGGCCACAGTAAGGGGGCACAAGAGAGAGAGAGAGAGAGAGAGAGAGAGAGAGAGAGAGAGAGGCGGAGAGAGAGAGAGAAGGGAGGGCTGGGGCAGAAGAAGGCAGAAAAACTGCTCAGGGAGAGGAATACTACTGTGTGTCATTTCCCACACCACAGAATTGCTACTGACATCCTGGCTCAATAGGCAAGATCTGGCTCAATAGGCAAGATCTGGTCCACGGGCCATAGGTCCCCAAACTCTGGTCTAAAAGGTCTATTAAATAAAATGCTAACATAAAATATTGCTGCAATAGGGGCTTGTTATGATTTTTAATTAAATTGATTTTCTCTACCCCCAAATTTAACATTTCAGCCTTGGTACCATGGCTTTGGTCCATGCACAATTTTTCATGGCCATAAGGAAATCTGGTTGACACAGATTTGAAGAAAATTTCAATTTTAAATAACCAATTTAATATAGGTGCTTCAAAAACATGTTTTTACTGAGCAAAAAGAAGCATTGCCACCCACTGTGAAAGAGCCAGTTGGTCTGCCCTTTTCTCAGAGAAAAAACAGTACAACTGGTGAGGTTTTTAAAAACATTAAAAATAAAAATGGAAGTCAAACATGTTTGAGGAAGAAGGGGAGAATTACTTACTCCTTGGTATTCAAATAAAGAAAGATCAAGGTTGAAGCCCATATCATTTAGAGTGCTTGGTTCTTTATCAGGTTGACAAGAGAATGGTTTAGAGTTCTCTACAGGTGATGGTGTGCTGGGTAAGCTGTCTGTCATTTGATTCCCACCATCAGCCAGCACATAGGAGTCAACAAGGGATAGGTCTAAACTCAAGTGTGAAGTATTACTGTGCCATAACTCTTCTTGGTCCTCTGTCCTAAAAGCCATCTCAGCCACAGAGGTATCCTCCAGCAGTGTCCCAGAAAAAGGAGCAGTAGCATCTACAGATCTGCCATTTTCCAAACTCCATTGATCACACGAACCATTAACTGAGGCAAAAGCACCAGATTTCTCCCCCTCTGCCTTGTCAGCATAGTGTTTCCGAAGCTCTTCGGCAGAAAATTTTCTTTCATCTTCCTTTGTGGAATCAGCCCTGCTCTCTCTAATGCCGTGCTTGATATCAGAGTTCTCTTTAAGGAATAGTCTAACCAAAGTGTCCTGCCAGCCCAACTGCTGACTAATCTGTTGTGCTGCATCCAGCTGGTAATGCAAAAGATGTAAGACCTGCATTGAACAAAAGATTCCAAAGCATGTAAAAATTAACTCATACTACATGGTGGTAGCCACTCAAGCCTTTAATAATAAACATTATAGTCTCATTCCATTTGACGCCAGGTGCAGAAAAGTGGTCTTGTGACACAGTTAGTCAATGACCATTTAGAATATGCGATCCAGGGATAATTCTTCACAATGGAAAGCAAAACAGTCACTGAGAAAGTTAAGTCTGTGTGGATCTATTCTGTGCGAATTAAAATAGTAAACCACATTATTTTCTTCTCCTATATATGACAAGTAACTTAGGCCATGTACAGGCATCATGCTTCTACAAGAATTGCTGCTCTCCTGGTAGAAATTAGGAGCATACGAACTTTCATTCAGTTTCTCCCAGGGGAAACCCACCTTCCCGGAAATGCGCCTTCCAGGACAAAGATTTTTCAGGTCGACACCTAGAAGATGTCCCTTGCAGAAAAACTCTCTTGCAAAATGAATGCCTGCAATCTCTCAGTTTGGTCTGGAAGGGGAAGGGAACAGTAGAGCAATGCTCCCTACCTCTTCTCCAGACCAGAAACTGCTTAGATTGAAGAATGGGCTGGGGGCTTTACCCTGCTGCGCCCTGCTTCTTCCCCAAACTGATGACTAGACTGGGCCATAAACATGTTCTACATTAAATAGTGCCTGAAATTTAACACACGGTAAGTAGCTGAGAAAGCTGATTTTTGGCCTTCCCATAGGCTGGATGAGGGAAAGCCTCTTCTTTCATCTTCCTTTGTGGAATCAGCCCTGCTCTCTCTAATACCATGCTTGATATCAGAGTTCTCTTTTAGGAACAGTCTAACCAACGTGTCCTGCCAGCCCAACCCGATTGGCTTTCCCCCCTCCCTCCCCACCCCACAGCCCTCACTGGGCTGCCCAGTACAGGGGAGCAGAGGCTTCCAGTGGGGGAGAACCCATTGGCTGATTCATCTGGGGTTTTAAATCCTGTGCAGAGCTGCACTAGCTAGGAGTGGGGGTGCAGAGGCTTTCCTGCACCAGACAGCCCAGCCAGAGATGCGTGGTAAAGGGCTTAAAGTACCTGCAAGGGAAGGCTATGTTACCATGTGCTGGGATATAAAAACCTTGTGCCAGGAAACTCTGGCTGGGCTACCTGGCACAGGGAAGCAGAAGCTCCCAGTGTAGATGAGGGAAGCCTTCAACTTACTTCATTACTGACTCCAAGATGAACATGGGCTGACAATGCAAGGTCACGGTTGGCAGGGCTAACTGGACCTTGTCGTGCATCCACAGGTGCATCTCAAGTAGAGCCAGGGAGGTGATCCTCCCCCTCTATGCGACACTGGTCAGGCCACAGCTGGAGTACTGCGTCCAGTTCTGTGCGCCCCACTTCAGGAGGGATGTGAACTACATTGAAAGGGTCCAGAGGAGGGCCACCCGCATGATCTGGGGACTACAGGGCAGACCCTATGTTGAAAGACTGCAGGACCTAAACCTGTTCAGCCTTCACAGGAGAAGGCTGAGGGGGGACCTGGTGACTGTCTACAAACTCACTAGGGGGGACCAGAAGGGTTTAGGGGAGACACTGTTTCCCCTAGCGCCCCCTGGCATGACAAGGAACAATGGACACAAATTATTAGAGAGTAGGTTTAGGTTA